CTAGTCGTTGGAATGCAGCGAAGTAATAGGGAACTCTACAGTGTTTTCTAGCACGTTATGAGGTTCTCTTATTCTTGCTATTATTTACTTACTCGATTTTTCAAAATCCACTTTATTCGCTCGTTCAAGAGGGTTGGTTTTAACGTCCCTGAATTTAAAAATAGTGCTGTGTATTGCTACAAAGCTTTTTACTTGCGTCCATACAAATTTTATGACGTTTGTTTCGTCGACAACAATAAATTTGCAAAAATTCATTAGCTCCATTTTCAACATATCTTTCTGAAATTGCTTTTTAATTTAAAGTAACCAATGATGTAATTTTTTTCCACAAAAGAGGAATAAGATCTAGCATTTGCTGAAACTAGTCCAGTCAGTCCGTTTTGATTGAAATGTTTGATAGAATGCTAGTACGCTACCACCAACAAATTCATTTTTGCTTCCAATGGGAGTAAATACCCTTTCTTGGAGGTGATTGTATTCCAGTGGACCACCCTTCCATGAAAGCTTGCCTCGTGCTTTTTAAATTTTTGATTTTGCAATGTTTTCGTTCATTTGCCCAAGTTTCATCCAGATCAAATATTGTCGTCACCAGCAGATAATTTAATCTTTTTCTATTAAAAAGGAATCTCTGATTTGAGTTTTTCGTAAACCAAATTCGTTTCCCTTAAAGTTTGCCACAATTTTGTTTTAATCATTTACTCATTTGACATTATTTTCTCCTGATTATTTCTTTTTTGAAGTAAAACTAGCGTATTTATTCTTCTGCAAACGCATGTTTTTCCTTTTTAAAATAGTTTTACACATTTTAGTAATATCAGCTAATGGGCAATTTGGTGCACTTCGAAAGTACTTTAAAAAAGGGGATTAAGTGGAAATAACAACATTCTATGTTGATTTTAAATATCACACGTTTAACAGTAATGTAAACAACTAAAAAGCTTTCTGGAGGAAATTAAATAATTTAGGTATTCACTATAAAAATAAGCTTAATTCTTTACCAGAGAATTTCAACAATGCCAACGAAATAAATAAATGAAAATTAACATTTTTTAAATGAATATAAAAATATTTCCACCTATTAAGTACTTAAGAACTTTTATAAAAATTACCAAAAAATGAAATACAGAAAGCTATTTTATGAAAAGATATAAAATTTTGAAATAAAAAAACATTCAAGTCTTCATAACATTTTGACTCAATTTCGGCCAGCCTCCACAGAGGGTCTTAGCTGCAGCACTACTCTCTGCTGATATGATATGATTCGCACGATTGACACAGGTTAAGCAACAATCTGTTTCTTATTGACTTTAGTAATGCCTTTGATAGCATTTGATGAGCTTCTTTTGTCAATTAATTTAATTTATTTAATTTTTGGGAAATGCAGGCTAAACAAATATATAAACATGAAAATTGGGAGTAACTATATTACATATGCACAAACATGTCGCAACTTTTTGATTCAACTTTAAAGTTTAAGCCTCACGTTAACAAATGTATTCAATGTGTCTCCGCAAAACTGAAAAAACTTTTTACCCATAGATATTTTCTATCGAAAACTCAATAAATACTACCAACAGAGTCTCTCGTGTTTAGTCAATTCAATTTTCTGACGTAGTGTACGGCTATGGATAAGGTCGATTCCGACAGAATTCAGCACGTGTAAACTTCGATGCTATCGTCATCGTCAGCCGATATTTTACAAATTGTATCTACCAAATGGCTTTGCATGGCGAATAGAAGGAAGTTACACTCAGCTACAACGAGGAAGCCAAGTCATCTTATGTAAACAATTCCGAACACTTTTTACAACTAAGAAAGAAAACCAACGTCGATGCACAAGGTGTCTTAGCCAGCTTAGATGTAAAATCCCTGATGAACTCAATTGCGATAAACAAAGACATGCCGTCCACATCATACAGCTAACGGAGCACTGTTTGGGGAACACCTACTTCACATATGACGAACGACAGATGGAGTTCCAATGGGGTCACAACAAACTTGTTTGGGGCGTACTTCAAAGCCCAAGCGATCAGAGGAAATCGAATGAAGCCGAAGCTTTGGGGAGGCCGAACTAGATCATTTTCCAACTTACTTGAATTCCTTGAACGAAAGAATCAAGTTTACCTTAACGTTCAAAAAAACTAGCATTTCTGGACCTCCTGACATGAACAGACTACAACACCAGCAGGTTCCCTAACGCGCAGTCACTGAACTAGCATCTATTAAACATCGATTCTCATCCTCCTTTTTGTCAATATTTAGGTCGAAACTGGTATTTTGTGCGAATGATTGTATATTGTTTTGGAAAATACAACATTTATTATTATTAATTTTATTTGGTATCGTAAATAATAAATTAGCGTTTTATTTGGAAAATTCGTGTCGAATAAACATTAATAAAAATCCGTTAATTAAATATTTTTGAAAAATACATTTTTTTTAGCAAGGAGAATTATTAAATTTTTTCTTTCAAATGTCTGGGCCCGTCACGCTCATACCGCATCTCGTTGCTAAGGGATAAAAATTAAAGAGTTGCGATAACTGAATTGTGTTGTCTAGTTGTTATAATATTAGCTTTCTATATTTTCCACTCCTTTTCTAATAAGGCAAGCCGCGTTTCCTAAAAATGGTGTTCGCAGATTTGGCCGGGTTTTATTTTACGACGCCAAATGCAATTCGACGAAACGCGCTCCAAAAAAGCGGACGCCATGAAACCTTTTATTTTGCCGATAAAATTCAAATCTTTTATTGAACCCGTTATAACTTTCCAGCAGATCTAGTCCCGGATGTAAAATTTTTGATAGAAAATTACGCTTTTTATACTTAAACTGGTCATTTAAAAATCACTTACCTTTTTAGATATATGTTCAATATTTTAAACATACTTTTTCAATTAAATTTTAAACTGAACTGTTATTATCTCTCAAAGCAATTACTTCAGCCACTGTTTTGTAGCGTGTCAAACATTGATTTCATGATCTCCTTTGGCGTGAAGCAAATTCAATAACAAACACTCTATAAATTTTGGCAGCAGCTTTAAATATTTATTTTTAAAGAAGTTCCCCGTAACGGGTGTGCCAGATTTAGAAAAAGTATATTCTTTGAATTTAAAACTTTTTATGTTTTTAAAAGGTAGGCTGTTAAAAAAAGTATAGTAAATGCAATGGACTGTAATTTTTGCAAGCTAGAAATAACGCGGTTATTTAAATAATAATATATTGGTATAACGGGACGAAAAATGACAATCTGTTTTCTTTTCGATCTACCTTGATGCAACTCAGGCTGTTGACTGGCACAATTGTGCAACACTTTACGGTACTCCAGATTTTAATTCTGGCAAGCGGAAAAATGCTCTCACTTGCAAAAATTATTGGTCTGCCACAAGATTATCTTTCGGATAAATAAAATTCATGTCAATCGAATAATCCATCGTTGTTTTATTGCAACTTAAAGTTCTATACATCGAAAAAAAAACACCCCTTAAAATCGAGTCGAACTCCCACACCAGCAAAAAATTGTTCTAAAAAACGCAGAAAAATTTAAGGACTAAAGGTAAGCCTAGAACTCTAAAACAAATAAAAGATGTAAATGGAAAGATACTGGACAACAACAACGATATAATTGACAAAACAAGTGGACAAGGCACTCGTGATACGAGCAGATGAAAGATACAAAAAGCGCTCTAAGCAAGTTAAAAAAAAGATAAGGCTGCTTCAAAATATGGGTAAACTGGGATGGTAAGTGCGAACAAGAATATACGATCTATTTTGGCAACAGGAAAAGGTGCCCGAAAATCGGAAAATAGCCAATATTTAAAAAAGGGGATAAAAGAGATTGCAGTAACTCTAACATTATTGAGCATACCATCAAAAGTATATGAGCGAGTCTTAAAAGAAAAACTTTCAAAAGTCATGAAACCACAACTAGAGCAATTTCTAAGCGGATTTAGGAGAGGAAAAACCATACATTACAGATTTTGACAAACTTCCAAGATATGCGGTGAAGGAGAGTCTGATAGAGCGAGGCGTTGAAGGAGTCGAATTTGAGCCATAATGTCCATGTATAAGATGTATAAGAAAAGCAAAAACTGCGTCATTTTGAGTCCACTACTATTTAACTTAACTTAACTTAAAAGAGAACTTAATAAGAACGTGGGATTTGGAACAACATGCGAAATGCGAAAAAACTTAAAATCATTTAGCTAAAAACGAAAATTATGGTTACGTCCAAAACAAATAGAATTCTGAACATCTAATTAAATAAAAAAAAACGAATACAGCAGATTGACGTTTTTAAATATCTGCCAGTACAATAAATAGCAACAAGTACCACCAAACAGAACTAAACTAAACCATTTCACACTTTAAAATCAAGCTTCATAGGAAAGACGGAGATATAAACTAAAGTCAAAATAACTATATACAAGACACTTTTGACATTTGGATGTGAAAGCTGGGTACTGACATGGACTGCTACTACATGGAGATAGCGCATATACAAAGCCACAAACATCAAATATATCTATGAACACTATATGGACCCAACGAAGATGATAAGGCCGATGTTAATGGCACATTTTGGGAGAAGGTAACAGAAAATGCCAAGTGAGATCTTAGCGAAAAGTCTGCAGGATTCCAGTCGGAGTTCAACAAACGAACGGATGATATCCCAGAATATATTGTCATCATGTATAATATACTACATTATGAGTAAGCGACTTATTCAACGAAATAAGTTTTAAGACTATGGGAGTACATCGAGAAAATTTGGTGGGCAATAAGTTACAGAACTACCCCTTTTTCTGCTATTATGCCATGGTGTAGTTTAAAAGTATTCCGCGGAAAATAAAAATCGAGGTCTCAATATTTTCACACAAAGAATTTGTCATTAAAGTTATCCCATGAATTCCCTCTCTCCGTCCGTTCTCTTTGAGTATAATCCCGCAGCAATGGCACGATATCCCAAAAACGGATGCTAATAAAATTTCTCCCGCTTTTCAGAATGGCCTTCCGTCCGCTGGAAACCCCTATGTGTTTAATGGAGATTTTGTCGACAGGGGTAAAAGGGGTTTGGAGGTTTTCCTCGTCCTGCTGCTTTGCGTCCTCACGTTCCCCGGAGGGGTGTACCTAAACAGAGGCAATCACGAGGACCATATTATGAATCAGAGGTATGTGCATGGTTGTCGTCACACTATTTGCATTATATAATGCATGAAACTAATGATTTGAACCCCAAATTTGTTTTCGTAATTTTGTTTACGAATATTACTTACTGACTACAATATCATAATTTTTAATGTTAATGTGCTCCAATAAGAGCAACGAGGTATGGTATTAATGAGGTTATTTTCGAGTTTTTGAAATGTTCACCAGAGAACGTCATTGTTAACATGAATGTCTAAAATTAACGTCGGTTAAAGCGAGCACTATTTTACAGCTGAGGCAGATTCAAATGTTTTTTGTTTAATGCTGTTTGCTCTATCTTAAACAGCCCCAAAAATTTAGTGGTTCAAATATAATAGTAGTAGGACTATCGGTATAGTGGTCATTCAAATATCCCACAAACCAAAGGGTAACTCATAATAATCAATTATTGCTTTTTTTTTAAACATTCCAAACATTGTGAAAGCGAATTTGGACACTCCTTACAACAAGTCGATACCAACTTTTTCTTTTTGGCCGCCATCCGAGAATTCTTTAGTATATGATATTGATTTTCATAGCAAGATCGCTTTCTTTTCTTTCGATTGTCTGCTGTTCTTTCTTCAGTCTCTTCTAATTTGTTTTTAATTTTTTTATTTTTCTTTTTTTTGTCTACTACTTCGCCCCTGCCTGCCCACCACTAGTTGTTCTCTGAAATCGTCAATTTGACTTTTTTTGTTGGTTGAAGTTTGATAGAGTAGCAATGCATTCACTACTGCAGTTCCAATCAAATCAAATCAAATCCTACAATCAAAACTCGTATTTATAATAGCCTCCGACTTATACATCACCTCCCCTTTACGATTTTTCTTCTTTCCTTTTCCCTCGTGAAAGTGTGTCTTGTTATAAATCTCACACTTACCTTATCTTTTCAATCCCCTACCAATACTCCTTTACTTTTCTTTCCCTGTACCTCTCCCTTATTCATTTTTTTGTCAACTAAGACATCTTTTGAAACGTCTACTACATTTTTTCTTAGGGTTCCCACATTGTCAGTTTTTCTTTGCAATAAAATATGAACCATATAAAAATAGTCAGTCACTAATGTGCAGATAGTCTTTTAGTCATCTGAGTACCACATTATTGCTACTGTGTTTGTGTTACTTTTTTCAGAGTAAAATTGAGTTTCATAAGTATGTCCAGTTTCATCACAGAGGTTAAACATTTCTACTCTGTATTTTAAGGCCTATTGCAACACCACTTCTCATGGACCTTATAGGTCCTTAAATTTTTTGGTTATGCCTACTACAAGCCGTCTTATTTTATTTAGACGATGCTGCTCATCTGCCCTTTCATTATCACTAGAGGAATGAACCTAAGAATATTTTGAAACCTGTTTCTTGTCATGATATGATGTAATGTATTTATAGAAATTTTTTAGACTAATAATCACTTGGGTTTGTGCCTCTTGGAATATTTATTGGTTTCCTCTAGTATCATATTAAGAATGGTATCATTCACGAATTATCTACCGCTTTGTGAATCTTAGGGAGTCGGTAAACACGAGGAATTTTAGAGTCATGAGGGTTAACACACTTTTTCACTGATTCTGATAGAGAAGAAGCCTTAGTAACAGATGTGAGGTTGCGTTCCATAAAGGACGTAGATACTTTTTTAAGTTGATGAATTTTTTTCTGATATTTATTTGTTTTTATGACCACTGTAGACTTTAAGACTACGATAAATAAGCTTATCAGTAGTTGGCGAACACAATCAGGAAACAGGACAAAAAATGAATGAAATTTTATTCTATAAAACTAAAACTCTTGCATGTAATCAATTTTTCTATCAACGAAAGTTTAGAGTATCTATAGAAATTTATAAGCACCAATTATTCTTATTTGCGACTCAGTTCTTTCCTTCTTTCACCAATACAAAATTAGTCATCCGATATAACGTTCATGCTTCTTCCTTAGCTCCGCCTCCCGCAAACAAAATATAAGCAGGTACAGAGTAGAATGCGATTCAGTTTCTGCTAGGTTCTAAAAAAGACAACAGGAAGATTGGTGAAAAGTTTGACTCAACAACAACCGACGCAGGAGAAATCCAGTTTTGTAAATAGTATTACAGTAGCCTCTGGAAGAAGAAAAATTTACCAAACGTGTTGCATACTATATTTTTTCTAAGACCGTCAGTTTTTGGGTATCCAGTTTTGTAAATGGTATTACAGTAGCCTCTGGAAGAAGAAAAATTTACCAAACGTGTTGCATACTATACTTTTTCTAAGACCGTCAGTTTTTGGGTACATTTTTGAAAAACAACACGAATACATTCACTGATATGACGGTCAGAATTGACAAACGTCAAAATTCAAGCCGGGTGATAATATTTCCGAAAACATCCAATTGCTCCCAAATTCGGTCAATAATATCACGGAAATGTCAGAAATGGTTCGCATCTATGGGAAACGAAACTAACGCGCTAAAATTACACTTTTAGCACACTAGATCGGTGTATAATTTGGAATTTTACACAAGGTAGTTGAAAAATAAATGTCCAGTCTTCTAAAATACGCTGGCGACATCTATGCGCTCCGTAAACAACTCGAACCTACTAAAGCGTTTGGTAGAGTGAGGAAATTTGAACAACATAGCCCAATGTACCGGGTTTCCCATTTTGGGTACTTTTATGGGGTATCTGGGATATTTTTTAGGATAGAAAGTTGCCCGACACTGTGCTTGTGAAATTAAATATGCACAAAATATATATACAAAATTAGCATGACCCTCTTGGTTTTTGAGATGCAAGGTGAACTCCAGAACGACCGCCGTTCATATTGGATTTTGTCTGTAGAATTCAAAGTAAAAGTATTGAGTTATCATTTGGGATACCATATTGGTGAAGGTATATATCATTACAATATACTAAGTAATAATAATACTTCGAGTAATTCTGGAATAACTTCCTCAAAAAGGTCTAGGTACCTAAGCGCTGTAAGACCTTCTTCATAAATTCGGTAGGCTATTCGTTGTCCCGAAATAAAACACGATACCCTAACCTCAAAGGGCCCTTGTTGGGCTCTTTCAAAAATTAAACATTGGTTTTCAGTAGAAAAGTTCCTCGTGTTATGGCGATTAAAATTTCCAGAACTTGAAAAGTATTCGTCTCCCATAAAAAATCGTTGATTCGTATTTGCTGCAAATACCAGTGGCAAAACTGCATCCGACGCTCGGCATCGCCCGGATACAAATGTTGAACATTCTTAAACTTCTATAGATGGTATTTGTATATTTTCTTAAATTTTTGGGTAATATAATCGATTTCGCTACCCCTACTACTGTTAAATGTGTTTGCAAGATGATAACGGCGTTGTTTCTATGTATGTTTCTATGTACCTTTGTTTCTTTTACTCCCGATTATCGTTCAAAATTTTTAGGACGTGGCTGAATAATGACTAGATATATTTTCAGACGAGCAAGTATATCTGGAAACGGTTGTCAACTCCCTGAATATCTAATATAGACAAAACCCATTTCTATAATATAAAAATTATACTGACTATATCCCTTTAAAAACCTTACCTGTGGTAATATAATTCCCAAGCTTCTTAGGCATTGTATTAAACATACCAACATATCATATTTTTCAAAAATTCTATACACTGTTAATATTATACTAAATTATTTAAAACGAAATAAATATAGAAAGAACAAATAGTTAGGCAATAAAAATAAAATTGAACACTGACATTCTCGTAAGTCTTTAACACATTTGCTTAATGTCGAAATCCTGGTAAATGTTCAGGCAAAAAATTAGTTAAGGTTTAGGAAAAGCAGTGCAGAATAGCAGCACCTAGGTCAAAATTACGAAACATAGCTGTTAAAAGTCTAAATATAACTTTGAGCCAACGGACGATTTGTTTAAAAAATTGTAAGTTTTGGGAAACATCACCAAGAAAATTAAAGACTATTATAGTTAGTTTTGGAATATTAATAAATTAATATAGTATTTTTTTTCTCGTTTCTATATTGGGTTTATGGATATTTCTTATACACCCACAAAACACATGCATGACAAAAACATTTTTGCAGAAAGTTTAGCCATGTTTATTGTAGCACAATTTAAAAGACAACAATAAAAAACAAAATTTCATCGAAAAAAGCAACCGCATTTTGCTCGAAAAAAATGCATGGTGTCGGCCATAAAAAATTGCCAGTTAAAAATTGTTATTTCAAAAAGATACATGCAGAAATGCATGTATAAAATTAGCTATTATTTATTGTAATCTCGATTCAAATGTAGAAAAACGGAAATAACTTACCTTTCCAGAAATGCTCGGAATGTTTTAAAAGTGAAAACGGAAGGTCCTATTCAAAAAACAATTTCCAGATGCAAATTACGACGTACGTTATTAAATTAAGAATGCCTTTGTTGAAAATAATAAAATACATTCTTACTTATAAACACAAGAAGAAATTAAAAAAAAATATGCTGCACTTTTTAACAGCATAACATTTCTTTTTTACAATATTTTCACAATGGCGTCCAACATAAGATTCTTTTTCTTCTTTTAAAGGAACTCTTATATTACTTGATTTGAGAGGATTCCGACCTTTAAAAATTGCAATGAATGAATGAGATGAAACTAATAGTATACATTGAACCAATTCAATTTCATTAAATGTAAATTCGAAACAAAATTTAAATCAGCTGCACTTTACTTGTTGACAATATGTTACTGTCCCTAAAATTATTTGTAAAAACTGATGGCCGATGCTTATTTTGTGCCAGGTTTCTCTGTAACTTGTCATGTTGTTTTGACTATCGTTGAAAATCTAGTTTTATTTAGGAAATAAATTATTATTATGACTTGTTGCAAATAAAGCCCAAAAACGCCCCCATCAATAAAAATTTCTCTCCTGTTCAAGGTGGAAAGACATCCGTCACAAAATTTTCTCATTCACAAATTATGTGTAGAATTTTTAAAATGATGAAAATTTTGCAAGAAAAATATTAACATTTTATA